ATACCTTCCTTGTATCTCCCCTATTTTTATGTGAAAAACCATTGTTACATTTTTAGAGTATGCTACAAAAGTTTCAAAATTATTGGTACTTTAAATTTAAATTTTAAGAAAATAACTTAATTAATTATTTATTTTATGGTTGAAGTTTGTTTTCTCACATCCATACAATTTAAGGTGTGGATCCAATTTTCAGAAGTTGTTTTATTTGCAAAGAAAAATATAAAAAAATGTCATATACTTAAAAGATATTGTTGACTATATAAAACTCTACCGAAACACAAAAGAATTCTTCTTCTCATTTTTAAAACTGAAAGAAATTTCTTATACGTTAATGTCACAATTGTATCTTTTAATTATGAGAAGATAGTGATAGAAGAATATTATCTTATTTAATTTCAATAAATCTTTCATTATCTCTCAAATAATTCTTCCATAATTTTTAGCTTTGCTATTATATGAAATCATAAAATTAATGGACCAATTATCTTTATAATTAAACTTTATGTTATATATAATCCCTAGTTATATCCATTCATGAGCATCTTTACAATTTACTACATTTGTAAACATCTTGTAATAATTTTAAATGGTAAGAAACTGTTCTCTCTTGATTTCTAAGTTATATAGTATTGAAGAAAATGTAAAAGTAGGAAAGGAATAAAATGATAAATGCATACCCATGAAATGATTTTGTAATTAAAGGAGAGACTCTCTCCCATCCATGCAAATTGGTGATGATCACTTTGTAGGGAGTGCAATTTCATGCATAATATTTCTATTCTTCTTGGAATCTTCCAAAGAATCTTCCCATTTTTTTGAAAGAAGCAAACACCCTCTTCATTTCATTTCAACTATATATATCATATATATATATATATATATATATATATAACAATAGTCTTCCTTTCATATTGGATTCCATCTTGTTTGGGTTACCATCTTTATATGCATGCATGATTAGATTTCTGAATAATAATGGAATCTGCCATGGGATCCACCATTTTGAGTGGACAAACCAAGAGACTCATCATCCAAATTCTCTATTTTTAATTTTTATTTTCTTAAATATTTGATCCTCAAATAGAAGTTTTTAACCTGCCTTTAATTTCACTGCTACCCAAATATATTTTATTGGATTTTAATTTGGAGATATATGTTTGAAATAAATCTAATTCTTTTAGGATTTATTTGTAATTCCAATATTATGTAGAATTTATTTATAAATTCAAACTTACTTCAATTAGAAAAGAAAATGAGGAAAAACCTACCCGAAATGATAATAATTAAGCTCATATGAAATTTCATATAAAATTACAATAATAAACTTCAGATCATAATCAAGTTTTATCATGTAGTAATACAATTTATAGTTCTTAAAATAAGTATGAATTTATTAATTTTATATAAATTCTAGACTTGTTAATCCAAATAAAGTCTTAATTCAATTACGAAATCACTTAAATTGTATAAAATAAAAAATTGATTTTTAGAGAATTTCATTTAAAATTACAATAAAAATTATAAATTTTAATAACATTTTAGGACATATATGTTGTTTTATTTTTTCATAGAATTACAAGCAATATGTTTCAATTTAAAAAAAAAAATCACTCTCTTTAAATTAAATTAAATTAAATATAAGTTCGATAAAATTTTAGATTAGTTGCAAATTTTTGAGCAGCCCATGTGAAAGATTTACACATTGGTGGCTATTATGTTTTTTCATTTTTCAATTGATATGTGAGCGTATGCATCTTATATATATATATATATATATATATATATATATACCTGCTATTTCTTTCGTTTTATTGGCTCCTTAAACATATTACTACATCGATTCTCTTTCTACCTGGTAGATGTAATGTCCCCATCAGTTAACTACAACTAGAGCGTAGGCCTTTTTAATGGGCTTAATTAGAATATCTTCATAAATTGGGTCTTTATCAAAGTCATATTGGGCTATACCATTTGTACATGGGCCTGGCTCCCCCATGACTTTAATTAAGTAAACTAAATTTCATATGGAACCAAATTTATGTCTGTATGGTACGTGTACGCAATGTTGATTGCTGTAGTACCCATTTTACTTGGATTTATTCGCTTGGTTTATATTACATTCGTCTTAATCCACAAATATATAATGACTTAGAAAACTGTTAATTGCTAAAAAGCTCAGCCAAATTGCTTGGGAACACATCAAATTCTCAACAGAGTTGGTTTGCAGATTCAATAGTTGTCATCTACGGGATTGTGTGTTGGTGGATGAAAATGAAAGATGAGAACATAAACAAAATAAGATCCTCTGGTTTTTTTTTGCTATGGATGAATTTAATTTTTATAGTTAGATCTGAATAATCCAACATTCCAATAATTAAATCGTTGACTATAATAAAAGTAAGACTTAAATTATTCTTCACCCTCTATTAGGTAGATATCGTGATTTTGAATCGAAATATGTTTTTATAATCAGTCTACCTTATTAATAAATATACAAAACTACATCAAACCAAAGTCTCATTCATATTAGTTGAATGCATCAATTTGTTAACAGTTAAATGAACAAATCCAAGCTATTAACCAAGAAATTTGGAAATTAATTACATCAAACTATGTCATCAATTGAACTCTCCAATCTCCTCCGTGTGATCGTCATGGCCTAAATGATCTCCTTCATCAACAACAAATACCAATCAAGCGTATGACCTGACAAGTGATGTTGGCTTTGAGCAGTTGATAGTCGTTGGCGTCAGAGGCTGTTGAAGACGAAAGAATTCTGGGTATATTTCCATGAAAAACTTGTCAATGATGTCTAGATAAGCCGGACAGGTAAGGCGAGAATAGTAATGGAGGACTTCTTCTATATCCAACACATAATCCACATCACTCCTCCAGATCATCTTTAACTCCCTCAACTTCTGCAACACCAAACACCTCCTTCCTCGATCATCATCACCGTTGACAGACCTTGAACCCGCTTGCTCCTCTCTTTTCTCTTCTGGGTAGTACTCCTTCTTCTTTTCCGGGCTGCCACTCGGCTTCTTCTCCGGCAATCTTTGTCCCTGTCCATTACTTTTGATCTTCACCGGATCATCATCCATGTGGGTGCCGCAACAAAAGGCGTTGAATGAGGGAGTAGTGATCTTTGGTAGCCTGATGTAATGATGGTGATCGGCAGAAGGGAAGAAAGACTTGAAAGTTTGGATTGTTTTGTGAAATAAGCTTTTGGTAGTGGAGATTGATTTTGTAATCAATGACATCTCTGATTATCTGTGTAGTTTGGTAGGGAGAAGGTGGGAAATGAAAGAATATATTTTTGTTTGTATTGATGAGCGGGGTGGGGGGGAGGGTTGATGATGAGTTTTGTTTATACAGGGAAATGAAATGTTTGAGGAGCCATTAAAGGGTTTGTTTAATTTTAATTAGAAATGATTAAGTTTAGTTTTTGTTTTGAGACGCTCCTCAAGACCTTTTCGACTGTCCCACTTAGTTAATACATAAATGGAAAGTTAAGGGTTTCTTTTGATTTACTTTAGATGGTAGTGGGAGCGGGTGTGGTTGTTGGATTGGTTCTCTCTCTTATATGTTGCCTTCGCTTCTTCATCTCAGTCTATTATTTAATCCAACAGGAAATTTTAGATTTTAAGTTTCTTCTAGAAATGATAGGTTGAGAGTCACATATATTCATATCTCTATATTGTCATTTTTTAAAAAAAAAATAAAAATATAATTACTATTTTATAATCACTTTTAAAATACTTTTTTTCTTTTTTTTTTTCCTATATTGTTTTCCAATTATTATCACTATAAATATTGACTTGTAATTGAAAAGAGTTTGTATAAAATAAACTCTAACTATATATATATCTCAATACTGTGTAAAAAATATTTAAATGTTAGTTGAATACTTTACGAATTGACTTAAAAATTGTAATGAATAAAATTGTATATGACTTTGTATAAGTTAGTAGATACATGATGTCTTTCGATGAGTCTTTTATACATGGTTGAATTTGAAATTAACTCATTATTATCCTTTAACAACTTGAAATTCTAATATACGAGTAAGTAATATGAAAGTTCTGACACTCAAATAGTAAGAAAGTATTTGAAGTCTTACAAATCCTTAATCTTAAATTTTCTATTCCTATCTTATTTTAAATTGTCTATTATGCTTACAATATCTACTATAATGATTATGTCATTAACGTAATATATTTTTAATATTTTTTTTATCTATCAAGTCAGTTATGATATATCTTTAATTCTTTCAATTATATATTTTTATTTTTACTTGTTAAAAGATTATCTAAAAAATAATTAACCTAAACGTTATATTAAATATTCTAAAAATTATAATAATATTATTATTTAAGTTTTGATCTTATTTTTGTTTTATTATATTCTTTAAAGTTGAATCAAACTTAAACTAATAAAATTTAAATTTTTTACAAAATAATAAAAGATGTTATTGAAATTATCTCGATTACACTTAGAATTGTTCAATTTAGAATAAATATCTGAATGAATTTAATAAATGAAATATCTTATCCAAAATAGCTAAATTTGAAATTTTTAAATGAACTTCATAAAAACTACTAGTTTATCTTCAATACGACATTCGTTCAACTAATAAATATAATAAAATTACTTCTCAATGTTCATCCTTTAAAAAAAACTATTTATAAACATCATTGGTAAATTTCATCAATTAATTTTGTTTTAAATTATAATAGAAGATCTTTTAAAGATTAATCCCCACCGTATTCCAGAAATTTTTTATTTATTTATAATTAAAATAAGTGTAAATTTATAAATAAATTTCATAATATTCATGAATTTATTCAAAATATAAATTTATAAATGAATTTTTTAGAAAATATTGATGATTAATATACACTCTTATCTTTTTCTTTTCTTTTTTTTTTGAATTATTTTATATGTTAATTAATCACACAATAATTGAATGATAAATAAATAAATATATATATATATTATTTTATATTTATTGCCGTGAATCACGCTATAAGGGAACAGCTAAACTCGATGGGTATTATTAATACTTAAGCAATCTCCGACAAATTTGACTAAAGAGAAAAAGGAATCCATGTAACATATTATATTATAATTAATAAGACAATTAAAAGTTTGGGATATGTATCCCAAAGAAAAACAAAACTGTATATAATTTAATAAATTAAACAATAAACTTTCACTCTCTTATTTTTATTTTTTTAATTTTAATTTAAACCCATTAATTTTTTTTATATTTTTTCATGCTCGTAACTTTTTTGCACATTTATTTAAAGCAAGACTAATAATAGTCCATACATATAGTATAGAGATGTGACATCTTTAAGCGTCTACATAAATGTTTATTAGGTCTAGATTTTGTTTCTAATAGAAATAAGATTCTTTATGTGTATGTATGTACGAAATGTAACAACCAAGTTTGTATAAAATATCCATGCAGCTTATACAGTTCCTTATAAACAATATACATATCCTATATATAATCATTGTTCAGTCTCTAATTTTTCTTTTATGCAGATGAGGAATTTCAAACAATGAATAGTTTGCGCCTGAAAATATAAATATTTATCTGAATATTTCACTTCAATTTTCTTTGAATTTTTATTAATCACTAGAAATATATATATATATATCTACATAATTGTAAGATTTTGCAGTAAAACTGATAAAATAAATGAAATATTGAAGAATATAGAAGAAAAAATTGAAAAACTAGAAATGGAAAAACATAAGAGAGAGGACAAGCTTGGAAGGCTCTAGGGTTGTTTTGGATTATTGGTTTCTCAATGCTTCTTACAATACAAAAGAATAATTATACAACTAGGTTAAAAAAAAAAGGCGTACATACTCTTTAAGCACAACCAATTTTTCTTATTAATCCATAGACTGAAATACATACATAATAGACGAGAACCCTCCTTCGGGGCATTACTACCTGTTTAACCTATAAGTTCAAGTAATACTTTGGCAACCCCCCTCCCCCCAACCCAAGATAGAGAGTAAATGTTTTCTACTTTCATTTTGCCCATGTGAGGATTAAGCACTTTACTTGGAAGTGGTTTGATTAAGAATATCTGCCACTTGTTTACCTATTGCTTGTATGCTTCATCAAAATACTTATATCATGAATCTTTTCTCATATCAAATTATAGTTCAATTTTATGTGATGTGTTCTTTTATGGAATACAAGATTAAATGTAATATGCATCGTAGCTTTGTTGTCATAATACATGATAGCAACTTGTGCGTGTTCAACTCATAAATCATTCAAAAGGTATCTTACTCAGGTTAACTCACAACTGTAACCAGTCATTGCTCTATTTTTGGCTTCAACAAAGTAGTGAAATATAATGTGTTGTTTTCTTAACTTCCAAAAGACTAAGGAGATTTGAGAAAATCACAATATCTTGTAATAGATATTCGGCTATCTTGGCAAGCTCTCTAATTACTATCACTATAAGCATCGAGGTGTAACTTAGAAGATGTTAGATAAAATATCCCACTTAGGTGTATGCCTCATATATTTTAACTTTGTAGGCGGTATCGAGATGCAAATCTCTTAGATACTCTATGGATTATTTTAAAAGTTGTACTAAATAAGATATTTTTGACCTTGCAAGAGTTATGTATGTGAGCCTTCCAATGAGTTTCCTATACATGGTTGTGTCTAGAATAAGCTCATCATTGTCCTTTGATAGCTTGAGGTTTTGATCCATAGATAATATGGAGGTTCTGACACCCAAGATCCTTGTGTCTTTTAACAAATTTAAAGTATATTTATATTGACATGTATGAATCCTTTTATTGGATTGTGCAACCTCGATATCAAAAAGTATTTGAGGTCTCTCAAACCCTTAATCTTAAATTTCCTATTCACCTCACATTTCAAGCTATCTATTATGCTCATATTATTCTTTGTAATCATTATATCATCAACGTCAACTAGTGGGGTAGTGAAATCCTTTCCAGTTGTTCGAACAAACAAACTATAATCTACCCTCGATTGTATAAATCGTTCTTGAATGAAAAAGGTTGAGAGCTTCATATACTATTACCATGAAGCTTGTTTAAGATTATAAATTCTTTTAAGTCGTTTAAGAACTTTTGATTTTCCTCCTTAGGATAGCTGGGTAATAATTCCATATAATCCCTTCATCTAAATCCCCATACAAGAAAGCATTATCAACATCAAGTTGACAGAGATACTAATCTTTAATAATTATGAAGGAAAGAAATTGTCTCACTGAAACTATTTTTGCAACTAGTAATAATGTTTCATGATTATCCAACCTTTTATTTTTGGTAAATCCCTTTGTCACAAGTATTGTCTTATATCTTTCCACTATACTATCCACATTGAACTTGACTTTATATACCCATGTGCACTATATAGCCCTTTTTCCATACGACAGATCAATAAGTATACATGTTTTATTTTGTTTTAACATATTAATTTTATCTCTTATTGATTTCACTTAGTCTTTAGTATGGTAAGCCTTCTAATATGAAATGGGTTTACTATGTGAATTGATAGTAAATATATACCCTTTGTATTTGTTATTGATTGTAACATATAAAATAATTGAGGCCATAGGAATGGCCTTGCCTGCCACTGGATTAACTTCATAAGATAATTGGGACGTGTGATGGGATTACCAAAGTATTCATACACAAAGTCTCTTAAATAGGAGGGAGGTTTTTGAATTCTAGTAAATTTTCTCATTGGGTAAGGATGGCAAGTGTCGTATTCATCTTTGTACTAAAGTTTCCAGCACTTTGGGGTGTTGAAGGAACCTTTGTATTTTTGTTGATGAAAGTCAACTCTTTTTTTCATTAATTGTGCAGAATATATATATATACATGAAGGGAGAATAATGCTTCCTATAATTTAGCAACTACACTAGAAATTAGCAAAGAAAAAGGGAGACCAAGTCTCCACTAATGGCTATTTGATCCCATCATATTTCATTCCCATGTTTTCTATATCTTCCACGTTCATTCGGCTTATCATTTTTTTTTTTTGGAACTTTCTCCTTAAGGTTCATGTTGTTAAATCATTCATATAAATCATTGATGTTCTCCCATGTTAGCTTCTTTTTCGTCGCCTTCTAGTAGTAGCAATTGGGCCTTGCGACAGCAATGGGCAGGGGTGAATTGCTCATCACTGTTGAAGCACAAACCTTGTGTTTGCCACCTCTGCACCTCATCCCAAGAGATTTTACCTAGTGGCAGCAAGTAGAGAAGTTATAGTTTATTATGATGGAGTTGCGAGTGCTTGGT